ATTGTTTAACGGGTTAAATTTGATTGGACATACTGGTATATAGATTTCTGCATGCCAATTCTAAATTTTTTTCATTTGCAAGTGCTTCATTTATCTGGGTATTTAAACTGGTGGTTGAGTTGCTGTTATATGTCTTTCTTATTAAATATTTTATTTCATTATTTAAAATGAAGTATATTTTTGTATTTACTGTTATTTAGGTTTAGAGTGTGTTCTGTCGTAATTAATCCATACAATTAAATTAATATTTTAGAAATGGAATTCAATTTTTGTGTTTGTTTAGTTGTTCGTCTTGAAGAGAAAGAGGCAGAATTAAAACGAGATTATACACGGCTGCATGAAAGATACACAGAATTATTTAAAACGCATGTAGATTATATGGAAAGAACAAAAATGTTAGTTGGAAGCACTGAGAGATTAGAAAATGCTACTAGCAGTCGTGGTCCATCCCGTTTACCACCTCTTGGAATGGCTCATATGTCTCGAAGTTCTGGACCATTGAGTTATGGTTTTCAGAGTTTAGAAACTAGTATGAATGAGTACGAAGTTCCAGAGGAAAGTCCACCAAATGCTGCTAATTTAAGAACTGAAATGTTAGATAGCAGTAGTGAAGCTGCTATAGAAACATCTGATAAAAGTCAATTAACAGATAAACCAGCACAAGAAAATAAAACAACAGCAATTTCTAGACGTACGTTAAATTTTTAAGCTTATCCGTTTATGTCAGACAATTCAATGATTATGAACAATCAAGTTTTAATATTTATATTATATCTTTTTATTTCACTTACACATAGATGAAAGTCCAGAAACAGAAGCACCACCTGTGTTAGTTACACCAACATCACCATCAAGAGTAGACAAATTGGCTACTATGACAAGTGGAAGGAGTAGGACAGAAAGAGAACAACGAAGTGGTAATACTTTATATCAGGAACTCAGTTTTCAGGATGCTGATGCACTGGGTGAAATGGATGAAGGGGCAGATATCACAGGTAATTATTTAAAAAATTTTAAATGTAGTTTGATCAAATTTTCCTTTAATTAATACTGCATCCCTAAAATCCTAGGTAGTTGGGTTCATCCTGGAGAATATGCATCGTCGGGTATGTCTCACAAGATAACTAAAAATTTAAATACATTCCTTATTAAACCTTCGAGTTCGAACTCATATGTGTACAGAAAAATTACTTGTACATGTGTGATGATTGACGAATCAAATAGTACAATACTCGTTTTTATGTTGAATCCGCTTGTCTTTTTTTAAACTAACAGCATCTATAAAATTCATAAAAAATTAATTTTCAAATCGAATTAATGTAATTTTTTATATTTTAACAGTTGATATTTCTAATCAATTACATTAGAACTCCGAAGTGTTAATGATAGAAATGATATAGAATTAGTGTAATATAAAAACACAATAATATATAAGATATACAACTGATATACTAATTTACTGATTTCTGTGTTTCATTGTTTGCATTTTTACCTCTACTCGGTGTCGCCATGTTTTGATTAAATAATCGCATGATATAAAATACCCTTCAGTCAGTGACAACTTCTTCGGTAAGATATTACTAATTTTATTTTCAAATTTATTATATTTAAAAAATTGATTCAACAACTATATTTCTAACGAGTCTAGTATTACTAAAATGATATATTTTATTAGGAATGGGCAAAGAAGTGGAGAATCTTATTATGGAAAATAATGAACTTTTAGCCACAAAGTGAGTATCCTGTGAATATTTCATCAATGTGCTGTCGTGTTAATTATGTATATATAAACTGTTTCATTTTGTAGGAATGCACTAAACATTGTTAAAGACGATTTAATTATTAAAGTGGATGAACTTACAAGGTAAATAGTCTTATAATATTATTCAGTTTTATAAACGACTTGAATTCCGTCGCTACTTCAAATTTGTATACATAGCGCATTTAGGAGATTGTTGATATTTAACTGCGACAGTAAAAAATATAACTGTCATTACAGAATTCTCTCATGATTACCATCATTATGTATCGTGATAAGTTTATCTTTGTGTGAAAGAGTCTAATAGCGATGAAAGGGGTCAATTATTTTATGATATAAATATGTGTAACATTCGTAATGAATTACGTTTATACGAATATACTTTTCAGTGAGCAAGAAATATTACGCGAGGAAGTTCGAGGTTTGCAACAAGCAAGAGATCGTTTACGACAAAAAGTTGCTACTCTTGAAGAAGAATTAAAGAAGGTTAAAGAAGAAGCCGAAGCAGCAGCAAAAGCAGCCAAGAGTGACGATGAAGAAGATGTACCTTTGTCACAAAGAAAAAGGTTTACTAGAGTGGAGATGGCTAGGGTACTTATGGAGAGAAACGAATACAAAGAACGTTTAATGGAGCTTCAAGAAGCAGTTAGATGGACAGAGATGATAAGAGCTAACAAGACTGATCCTTCTAATATATCGGGAGGAAAAGGTTCAGTGTGGAAGTTGTTAGTATCATTTGTATTAAATCAAAACTTCTACAATAGTACAGCTAGGTCATTTGTACCTCACAAAATGGTTACGGTAAATAATCATTTGTTCTTTTTCTGTTTGTAGTTTTAGTAGTCTCTTCACGGGAACTGCGGACCGGGGACCCCTGGTTCGAGGACCACATACGTTATCTCAAATGAGGTACAGCGCACCAACAAATCAAGTTGTTCCAGTACCACCTTTGGACACTATGCGTAGACGTACGTTGAAAGGTCGCCATGAGATTTTCGACCAGGGAGACACCATGTGAGAAATCAATCAAATTCTATACACGCACTTAGATATTATTGTCAGTTTGACACTGAAAGCCTGCCAAATTTGTCTCTATTTTTTAATATAGAGACTCATTTCTCTATAATTATGCTCTCTTTTTTAATGTTAGCACAATACTGTGATTGTTCTACTAGGAAAGTTTTTATAAAAGCCATAACACAAGTTTAAAACATAAATTTATTTTATATTATTTTATTGAAGCTGTTTTGAGAACAGTGAATAGAGAAAGATTTTATACTCTTTTTTTTTTAAATGTCAGAACAATACCGTGATCGTACTACTATGAAAGTTTTTATAAAAATCATAACATAACTTTGACGCATATATTTATTTTATGATTTTATTGAAGCCGTTTCGAGGAGAAAGACTAAAGAAGGTTTTTATACTGTTTATGGGAGAAAATATCAGATCTAGATTTTCGAGTAATTTTTGAATCGACATCATCTTTGCAGATTAGAGTCCCCTTTGGTCAGTTGGGATCCATAATCTTTTGTCGCGACTCTCAATTAGTCTTGATCGCTCTTAAGAGATGTGAGTCAATTCTAAATAATTTTTTGCCTGAGCGAATTCCAAATGTGATGGTTGTTTAACAAATTGTCGTTAAAACTCCCACTTTACCTGCCATTTTTTTTTAATCAAAGAAATGACTATGGGTGTGTACATATATAAATAGGTATTGTGATCAAATGCACACAGACACAAACTTTCTTTTTCTCGTCAATTTGATCTTAATAGTATGTCTATTTTTAGTCATATTTTTCATACGTACAAGAAATTGTAAATTACTGTATGTATATTGAAATGAAACATATATATGTATGTATATATGAATTCACTATTTACAGTAATCATCAAATATCTGATTACAGTAACTAGAATTTAATGAAGTAAATTATCTGTTATTGCAAAGTCATGCTTAAAAAGCAATAGTTTTGTAAATAAAAGTTTGTACATTTTTGAAAGAAGAATAATACACGATCATCATTGATCAATAAATAAACGAAGTTTTGATTATATTATAAACTTGGCTTTTATTTCACTCTTGCTCTATGCTTTAATTTTTCGTTCGGGTTTCATCTTTGCCTCTCCTTCACGGTGTTGTCAAGATATACCTGGTATTTCTGGTTTTCGGTGGGGTGCTTATTGGCCAGCAGGTAAATCTGTTCTGCTCTATGTCTAACATTCCGCTTCTAAACCTTGGATATGAATATCAGTGTGCAAGTTATAATGAAGCTGAACATTAGATACGTTGGAAAGAACAATCAAATTAGGTCTTCATATCGATCGAAGAATGTGTCCAGTGATGAAGGAACTCTTCGTAGGAACAAATGGTTGAACAAACAACAGTGTTCAGTAAATTATACTAACTTCTATAATTAAACATTCTACTTTGATCATAACTGTACTTTACAATGAGACAATTAATTTATACTTAACACATTTTTTCAGATCTTCTGAAAAACTCGTAGCCAGACGTGCAAATGAACGAAGAGAGCAATATCGTCAAGTCCGCGCACACGTTAGAAAGGAAGATGGTCGATTACAAGCTTATGGTTGGAGTTTACCAGGAAAACCGAGCGCACCCGTGAGACAGCCCGTTCCAGTGCCAGTCTACTGTAGACCCTTACAAGAGTCAGAACCTGGCATGAAGGTATAGTAAAGATCTTAATCCTTTTACAGCGTAATAAATGAATCAGTAATGCCTTATCAGATGCACAGAGTAACTGATTTTAATAACATCATTAAATATTGCAAGAATTAGATACTTTGACCAACTTTTTCTTTTGAATGAAGAAGTTCAAAATGTGCAATTCTTGCAATACAAGATTATTATAATGTATAATAATATATATACAAGATCAACATAATTTACGCAATAATAATATAAACTTTTAATAAACTTTTTGCTATTAAATTAAGGAGTTCTATACACAGTGTTTTACCAGTATCCCTCTTGAACAATACTGTTCCATGCTTTGATAGTTTATTTGATTCTTACTCAGGCTACACTGTGAGGAGGTTAATTTATTTAATGGGTAGATGATTACTTATATTTTTTTTTCATCTTTAATTACATAGATATGGTGTGGCGCTGGTGTAAATTTAAGTGGAGGTAAAACACGCGATGGTGGTTGCATGATCGGAGGTAGTGTGTTCTATGCAGCTGAGGCTCAAGAAGTAAGTACTAATTCAAAGACCGAAGCTGAGGATGCTATTGAACATTTGGATAAGGAACTGCAGGAAAATGAAAACCAGAGGATAGAGGCAGAACGTTTGGAACAACAGCTCAGTTCTTTGGTTTGGATTTGTACATCAACTCAGAATATTAGAATGATGGCAAAAGTGACTGTGATAGACGCTAACAATCCAGCCGATATTTTGGAAGTATTTAATGTTTGCCAAGGACATTTACTTTGTATTGCAAGTGTACCTGGAGCCAAAGAGAGTGATTATGCTCAACCTGTTAATGAAGACCCAGTTCGAACTGCCAATGGAATAACAGATAATGACGACCATGAAATAAATGTTAGCGCAAACAATGAACAGAATAATCAGAAAAATAAGCAAGAAATTCAAGTATGTTCTGAGAAAAAAGATTCAAATAGTGCTTCTGAAGAACCAAATAATGAAAACCTTGAAAAATCTGATGATAGTAATCAGAATAATACAACCGAGCCGCAAAGTTTGGAAAGTGTAGATAGTGAAACAATAAATCTTGGAAAAGTACACTTTGTGAAAGTTAACGTAGAGACAGCATCTATACAAACAATTGATCAGGAAACTATAAATGAAGAGAAAGAAACAAATGAACCTGAAGAAGGTACTCCGATAGAAAAAATGTCTTCGATACAACCAACTATGTGGCTTGGGGCTCAAAACGGTGCAGTGTTTGTTCATTCGGCTGTGGCTAAGTGGTCAGTCTGTTTGCATTCTGTAAAATTAAAGGATGCCGCGCTCGCTATTGTGTATGTATACATAAACGTAATCAGTAGAAGATGTAATTCACTATGTAACAAAATTATATTTTTATGTAGACATGTTCAAGGCCGAGTTCTTGTCGCCCTTGCTGATGGAAGTGTAGCGTTGTTTAGAAGGGGTGTAGATGGTCAATGGGATCTGTCACAGTACCATGTAATCACTTTGGGTAGTCCACAACATTCAATCAGGTGCATGACCGCTGTTAGTGGTAAAACTGTATGGTGCGGATATAGAAATAAGATTCATGTAATAGATCCAGTTTCAATGACTGTTGAGGTATACACATGTATATTTATGTGTAAAAATAATATTACTTACGCACATATTGTACAATGCATTTATTATACGTAAAATACGGTTTCAGTGTACCGTAGATGCTCATCCACGTCGAGAATCACAAGTAAGACAATTAGCTTGGTTGGGTGAAGGTGTATGGGTCAGCATTAGACTAGACTCTACATTAAGACTTTATCATGCTCATACTTACCAACATCTTCAAGACGTCGATATAGAGCCTTATGTTAGCAAAATGCTCGGGACAGGGAAACTTGGCTTTTCTTTTGTTAGAATTACCGCGTTACTCATTTCCTCGAATAGGTTGTGGATTGGTACAGGAAATGGAGTGATAATTTCAGTTCCTTTGTCTGAAAGTAAGTGAAAGATTAATATTAGAATTATTAAAATTTTTCAATCGAAGAGTTTATTTTATGAGTAACTTTTTATACAACATAGGTGCTGGAGGTTCAATGGCAGTATCTAGAATTCAAGCCGTAGGTAGCAAAGGCGATGCACCTGGAGTTGGCGTTAGGGTCTTTGCGTCCGACCGTGGCGTTACACCTGGAAGTTTTATACCGTATTGTAGTATGGCTCATGCACAACTTAGCTTTCATGGACATAGAGATTCCGTGAAAATGTTCGTTGCAGTACCCGGTAAGTCAACAACTTTCACAATTAGTAAATTGTTATATTAATACGTATTATCTATGAAGTTTATTCAACTTTCACAGGTCATGGTGGTCAGAGTGCATTGTCAGATGGTTCTCAACCAGCCATGCTGGTCCTTTCAGGAGGCGAAGGTTACATAGATTTTAGAGTTGGTGGGTATCACATAGGCGTAATTCTTCTTGATATTAATCTGTTCCATTAATCATCTGCTTGAAATCTTTAACAGCATGAAAAATTAAGTTCATTGTATACATATAACTTCTATAGAAAAGATACTGTTAATACAAAATCTTTGCATATTATTTCGTTAATATTAAAGAAAGAAGAACCATGAAAGTATTATTTCATGCGATTATGATACTTCCAGCAGATGAGGCGGAAGACGAGAGTGACGTGGCTACGCATCTAATTGTATGGCAGTTGGTCAGGTATGCCCCCAGAGAAAACTGAAACGCGGTTAATGGGTATTTTTGTCGATTTACACAAGCATTTGTGCGACTGAATGGATCAATTATTTGTAATTGATCAATGAAACTATGTACTAACTGTTGAGAGTATGTTCTATGCACGGTGTAATGAGATTTAACTAACAAGTTCGCCAGTAGATAGATACTCTAACCTGACATTGAAAAGAATTTTATATTTCGTTTTTTTTTCCGAAGAGGACCGGTACATCAGACGTACTCATGCGAATCTATAAAACTTTCAATTATATTTGTTACTACCAGGTTGGAAGATCCAATTTCTTATAATTGTTTGCTTCTGTATAGCACTTCTACAAACTTATATTTTCATAATCTTTATTAATACAAAGAATACTGTGTCTGCACCTCCGTTTCTCAAAGCAACTATACACCGTATCATTATTTGCTTTCTTCATTCTCTGGGGGTCGGGAATTTCCAGCTGACATGCATTGTATTGTACAAAGAACGGTCGACAATCGCACTTCTTCTCCTAGTCGTCAAAGTTGGGCGTTTTTCAAATAAGTTTTTGTACAAAACATTCAAATGAAAAGTTCAACTATTACATATATCAGTAAAACATCAATTTATAAAGTATTGAGAATCAAATTCGCCCAACTTTGCGTACTATGAATCACAAATATTACCTTCCCATTGATGAATTTTTGTTTTCTTTTTAGGTGATGGAGATGACACAGAGGAGAGCATTGAACGGTCAAACAATGCTGTTACTGCGAATGCTGAAGAATACGGAGAACAAAGCCATCTGATCGTGTGGCAAGTGCAATGTCCTGTACCAGTGCCAATGAATGGCTAACCTAGAAACATTGAAAGCGTGCTGATCCCGGTGTATGATCCAGCTTGAATTTCTATATACGAAGGAAGCGTTCAAGTGGTTCTCGTTGCGCGTTTTCCAGTCATCAATAAATCCTTCTCACTTCATTTAAATAAACACCGTCGTACCAACGCTCTATCGAATCGGTTCCATTTGTATTAACAACTCTATAATGGAAATAATGGGAATATTCAGTAACGACGTAAAGGGAAGGATAATACTGTACGCTATCTCAGAGTGCTAAGGGATTATTTTCGACGTTTCTTGCACGGATGTTCGAGTGCCAGTAACCTGCCGCGTGGTTTCTCATGGCATTTAACGAGAGACGTGAATTCATTAGATGAGAAAACGATTTTTTAAATTAAAAGACCTAGAATCTCTTAACTTAAAGCTTAATAATCGTTAGCTTCTATTTAAAACGCGTCTTTTAAAGACACCTATCGGCATACCAATTCGTTTTTGCGCAACGATAACGTAACTTATCAAGGAAAATTATTTTATTAATCCTGCATGCATCGTTGCGTTGCTGTCGTAATATTTTCAATAAACAGAATCTGCTACGTTCATTTAGACGTATTCCGTGCTGTTGATAAGAAGAGCCCTGGGACGGCATAGGAATAAGAAGGGTCTCTTGCTATGTGTTTTTGTTCATAGTTTTGATTGGTTACGTGTAATCGCATTAATAAATAGTAAATTAGTATCGAAAATAAGACAAGAAAAGATGAAAGTTGACCAATTAGAACCTCATTCCTCCCAGGGATCTTCTCGTGAACAACATGGGTAACATATATCGCGTCCTGTACGTAGAAGCTTCTAAATTATCTTGGAATCGGTCTTGATTAAATAATGCTGATAAATAAATAGCGTTTCTATTGCCACCGATCAATGTGATAACCGATAAAGATACGGGGCAATAAGTTTCCAAAGCTGCCGCGACGTTTGCTATTTTGATCGTTAATAATATCTTGAGTACCATCGAAAGGTGGGGAAATCTTCACACAGGGGTACGATGCGCAAATTAACTCGGGCAGACTTTAGGCATAATATTGTACATTGTTTCAGTTAGAGAATACATTATTTTCCAAACCTAAGTGGTTTAATTCGCGTCCAATATATACATACATCAAATGTAATATATTTTTTATGTTCTGCTAACAATCTGTAATGTCACGTTTAAAGCGCGTGCGCCAGCTTTCTTCGGACTTCATCGATAGTCTCAAAGAATGAATTTTCTGTACATAATCGTGAGATGTTTATAGCGCGTCGTGTAGATTCTTAATTTATGTTCTTTTTATATTCGTTGGAATCACATTCTTGTGTCGACGAATGAAATAGTAACTATTCCACGGTGGTGCAGAGCACACAATGAGAGTACGTCTATTTCTCGTTACTGACCGTTGCTACTTTACTTTCATCGTCAACACGCATAATTACACCCCCACCTCCCCCTTCAACTACCAAAGACGAGGAGCGACCTTTAATTGTATTCTTTGTACGAATTTCTAGTAAGGATGGTTTTAAAGTTGCGTGACTAGACCGATGTAGTAGCGAATTTTAACTAGACATACAAATTTATTGCATTCGGGATTACGAGAGAGTCGCCGGCTTACCAAATTTTTGTAAATTTCTTATGTTTAGCGTCAGAATGATATTCAAGGTGTGTGTACGATATGTAAGGGCTGCGCAAATATTATTGTGCGAGCTCGCTTTCGGTGTCGAGCTCGGAATTGTACCTGGCTCAGATGAAGCTGCAATGGCGTTAATAAAGAAAGTTGCGAAACAAGATTTCTCAATTTTTCATTGAAGCTCTTCGCAGTGATATTCTGAAAGAGATTATTGCTAATAGATGTGTAATTGCTGTATAATTTTTTATTTAAACTAGCGCTTAACTATCATGACTCCATTTATGCACACTTGACAATTAACGTTCTTATAAACAACTAGCTTATACATTGCTTTCTTATGTGGAGAAAAGATACAAAATGTATTTTTTACGCTCTCAAATGATAATAAAATAATATGATATTAACACAGTAATAACACTATTATTATTATTGTTATTGTTCTCTTACACTTCATAATTGTCATAGTGGCGCCATCTTACAATTTCTGCAACACTAATGATACGGATTTACCAGTGCTAATGGCTCGTAAAACTTAGGACTTTCGCCGTAGATGGCGATACGAATATTTTTTAAATTTGCATTGATAAACAAATTAAATTAATTAAATTATACCGTAACTAACAATTGTCAATAAACAGCATCGGTTTAATAAATTATTCGACATTATTATTTAATACCACTGCCCATGATTTATGGCAATTTTTATACCTTTCGTATCAAATAAATATTTTAAGTATTACAGCATTTATACTTAATATAACCATAATAAATCCAATAGTTATTTTTGAATTTGCAAATAATTGATCATCAATGATCCCATTCGCGAAAACTGTATTCGTAGCACAGCTCCGCCAACTTGATTTGCTGTCCGAAATTCCGTTGAGCGACCTGAAGATTCCAATGGATGAAGTGCAGAAATAAATAGTTTGCCAAGTTCTGCTAGTCTTTGACGCTACTAGCGGGGAATAGGTTAGCAAATTTCTCTGGAATAGCGGTATTTAATACAACGTTTGCTGTTTGAGAAAAAGAATCAACATATTCGTCGCGTTTCTGGTACGCTTTGTATAAATATTATATTATTTTGTATATATAAATACGCGGTATGTTGTATTCCGTTATGTTGTGGAAAAATAATTGCCATTGCTGTGGGTCTCTTTCTGTTAATCGATATAGCCATCGATAATTAAATAATTATTAAATATCCTTTTAGAACGTTATGTATAGTAATCGATTGCCTCGAATTTAAAAAACTTGAACTACTGACCAAGAATAAGAAATAAATACTGAACGTTTATTCTCAAAAAGTTTATTATTTAATATTTTAAGTATATTATGAAACATTACGCAGTTTTAATATTTTTAATGTCAAGCGTATAATTTTGGAAATGAAAAAAGTATGTTTATTTTTCATCAGTTACATAGGGCAGAAATATAGTAGAAAAAAATTGCTTATGCAAAGCAAAAGTAGAAACTTCGCTCTTTATAACGAGTCTAGATAGACTGTTGTACGATTTTTATTACAAAGTTACAGGCGTTCAGAGATTGCAAACTTTTCGATTACACTGTAGATTTATAGCAAATCAACGCATTGAGTTTCCGTGACTCTACAATTTCTTAAGAGGTACTCGTTAACATCGCAACAACGAAAATGTTAAGAAAATCGTAACGAATGATAAAATCGTATTTTATAGCTCATGCACCACCTCCTATCGCTTCAATCTCAAGAAAAAAATATTGGTCAATGAATTGAAGCTTGAGCCAAGATGATCATTAGATTTTGAAAAACGATGTAACGATTTAAAAATGTTGCCTAGAGAGATTACTATTCCGTCTGATTTCGTACACACAATGGATTTCTTTGTTGCTTTTTGTTACAATTGGCTCAGTTCGCGTGACTCATTACGTTGGGTTCAATTCAATTTCATTTCGCGAAATGCATCGCATAAAACACTTAGTAAACAATTTTTTATAAATATGCTTACACGGAGATAGAAAAAAGATCAGTAACCTTGTGAATACTACCACTGCTCTGTAATTAGACATACATTACCATAAAAGATGATCTATTGAATAATTATTGACTGATAATTAGGAATTGAAGAGGTTCAAAAAATAACTATTTGTAACTATTATATATCAGTTCCGCGTGAAACAGTTCTGGAGAATTGAAATGAAGTCATAACTGTTATTATTAGGTATATCGGGTTTGAACTACGTATATCGGGTTCGGTTCTTCAGGACCGATATTACATCGGTTCTAAAACTATTATTTTTTAGTTTTGTGTGAAATGCAGAACCGAAATACAGAACGGAAAAGTAATAGTTACAGAACTGATATAGAACCGACATCGGTTTTGAAGAACTGGAACTGAAGTTGATGTACAGTGGATCACAAAATTATTCGCTCAGTCGATAGTGCGGTAAAGATAAATGAATTAACCATACAACGAAGAACTTTTTCAAATTTCTTTTAATGGATATACATTATTTACAGTTCAGTGTAACAAAATGGTATAAAAAAGTATAAAGTTTTGATTTATAATTGCAAAAAAAACGAATTGTGACAAATATCTACACTTTTTCACGCCACAAAATTATTCGCTCATTTCATAA